CGGAACCATAACTTAATTCACAGTCCAGAAGCATTTCTGCTAGAAGCCGCTGGGTTCCAAGATTGGTTTGTCTCTGCTAATTTTAAAATAAATAGCTCAGACTAGACAACTAGCATGAAGGAAACATGTTTGCCATGCATTCAGCTGACCCCAGTTCTATTCCAAGCACCACATACGGCCCCCTGAACCCCACCGGGAATGTTCCCTGAGAACAGAGCCAGGAGTGATTCCTGAGCATAGAGCCAGGAGTGATCTCTAAGAGCAAAATCATGAGTGATCCCTGAGCAGAGCCAGGAGTGATCCCTGAAGGCAGAGCCAGGAGTGATCCCTAAGGGCAGAGCCAGGAGTGATCCCTGAGCATAGAGCCAGGAGTAAACCCTAAGCACAGCCTTGTGCTTCCCAAAAAACAAACAAACAAACAAATAAGTAAATAAATAAAAAGCTTATATAAAAGATAAAGTGATTGAGATTAGCATTATATCACATCATGCAGAAGACAGAACATGTGAACTTAAAAAAAGCAAGAGATCTATCCACGATGAATTATGAAGAATCAAGGGCTACAGAGGGGGCGGAGGGAGACAGCATCGACCCTGAGCCATTCACCGGAGAGCCAAGAGACAGTTCGGTGAGCTGAAAGTGACACAAGCAGGCTGGAGACCCGAGATCGACCCCCGTGTCACAGACTTCCCCAAGCACCATCAGGCACAAGTCCCCCTCACTAAATCAGAGTCAGGAATAGACTCCAAGCACTGATAGGTATGCCACCCCCCAAAAAATAAAATAAAATAAAACAAGACTCTAATAACTGATTATGCAACTGGAGTCCTAGAATGAGGGAAGCAGTGAAAAAAAAAACAGAAATATTCAAAGGCGCAATCAATAAAGACTCACCCAAGAGTAAGTGCTCTAGAATTCCTCTGAACTAATTTTCTAACAAAGCTAACTATGCTATTCACCAACTTCCATCTGGACCCTACTGAACTAGGTTATTGGAATCTAAACCCTCCCCCACCCAGAAAACAGATAATTTCCAGAACATTCTGCATAGGGCAGTCCCCCTGCAGCTGTTTTCTATCCCACTCACAGGACACAGTGGCTGGAAATGTCTGGGCAGGAGAATCTAAAATGGGCACATGGAGACTTGGAGCATCTGTCTGGAGCAGATTTAGAAACTCCTGCCAAGCTACTACCACCACAGGCCATGGTGCTCAGCTCCTCACTCCTTGCCCATGAGCAACAGATACTCCTTGAGCAACCCCTCTGGGCCTCTTGCCACTGTTCCTCTTTGCACACAGCCATGGTGACTGGTGGCCAAGTGCTGAGGCGCTTTTTTGTTGGGCTGTTGAAACGCAGACTTAAAGGCCTCACTCGGTTGGCTAGGCCTGCGGTGAGCAATGGCTGGGACGGGGACCCTGGGACAGGGACCCAAAGGCATTTTTCCTGCAGGCAGGCCCAGTCCCCATGGGCCCTCTTGAGAGCTGGTCTCTAAACCATTCTCCAGGCTCTGAGCCTTAAGCACAATTCACCTGGGATTTCCATATGAACAAAACAAACTGTGCTCAATTAAAATTGTTTTTATACAGAATATATAGAAGTTCACAAAGGTATCAACGTCACTAAAATTCTTTTACAGATAGGCTTCCGGTTTCCAAAAGATATCACCAAAATGCACATCTTGGAAAAAAAAAAAACTTCTATTTTAAGTTCTTTCATTTTCAAAACACAATGCTTGAATTTTCAATAATTTTTGTTTAGACATCCCTTGTGTGTAAAAAAATTTTTTTTCATTAATCATTCCTGCCAGGTTGATCAAACAAAGGAGTCAGTTGCTCTTTGTTTGTTGCTGCCTGGCCCTGCTCTGGGCATCTGGCTACTCATCTGCCCGGGCAATGATGGAATGTGATACTTATATCCACCCCACAAGGTTACCTTCAGCTCCTACTTAGCTCTCGTTAAATACCAAGGCTGCACTGCCATGCTAGTTTATACCTTTTTATGAGACATGAGAAGTTTCTTAAAGATGTGTTTCGGTAAAAAAAATTCACAGCAGACAGTTTTAAGCAATTGAGCCTGGCACTTTTAATGGATGTGGAAGAGAAAAACCAACATCAATGCTGGGTCTTGGATTCTTATTGTTGCACCTAAGTTTCAGATCCCCAATCGTGAAGAGACTCAGTTCTACACATGATAATGAAAAAGCAAAGGAACTTTATTGCTACCTTGAGCTAGGGTCCAAGTCTCATCCAATGCAGTGGAATCTTGACAAGGACCCCGACTCCAAATCACAAGCGATTTATATAGGGTTCAGAATTATGAAGCAGAATTATGAAGCAATTTATAGACTTGTCTATTTTTAGCATCAGCCCCATTACAATGGTGGTCAGCAATTAGGCAATAGTTAGTAACAGTTTCTAAGGAGGGTACAGTGACCCTTCATGACCGGCCAGACCCAACTGCCTTGGCAAACTACTCAACTGGGAGTGGAGTCCACAAGAAACTGCAAGTCCTGTTCCTGGGAAACAGAAACTGAGGCTTATTTGAGACTTAAAGTTAGCTGCAGCTCCTTATGGCTGCTGAGGAGCCTGCTTTTGGGTCTCACATTCCTTCCCCCCTTTTCTTTTTGCACTGATAGTGAGTTATATTCCAAGCAACATGTTGTGAACTTACTGAAGTCTTTATTGAGGGAGAAAGTGACTGGGTACAGTTAAGCGCTACATAATAAATGCAGAAAAATTAACTTTAGCCAGAAATAGAGTTCTCGGTCATTACAAATCTATCCCGGAGCTGGAGCAATAGCACAGTGGGTAGGGTGTTTGCCTTGCAAAAGACCTGGGTTTGATTCCCAGCATCCCATATGGTCCCCTGAGCACTGCCAGGGTAATTCCTTAGTGCAGAGCCAGGAGTAACCCCTGTGCATTGCCAGGTGGGATCCAAAAAGAAAAAAGAAAAATCTATCCCAAGCTTTTCTTAAGCTTTTTCAAAATATAAAACCTGCACAGATATTTGAGCCTTTGCTCCAAACTCAGAGGCAGCCTTTAGAAAGCATCTTTGGCTAAACCAAATGAGTAGAGATGAATAAAGATTTTACTCTGAGAACCTCACAAAACAAAGACATTGTAAATATATATTCCCATCATTTTTATGGCAAGTGATGCGTTTGTTTCTGGTTCCAAAAATAAACTGATAACACAGTATCTAATAGACTTTTAAAAAGTTAACTGGCAGCTCTTAAGTCTTTATCATGCTCCCCACAATAGAATCTTCCAAAGGAATTGTGAGGTCTCTCCTTAATGTCACCCCCATGCACACAAAGAAAGTACACTTGAAGGTTATCTTTGATTTATTGTTGTTGTGAATTACTGTATTTTATTATAGTATAATAGATAATCTAATTCAACAGATATTTATCGATCTGCTATATTTGATATTATAAATATACTGAAGGAGAAAGCAATTGTGAAGTACAGAAATATTTTTAAAATAGCATATAGGATAGTGTACTGATCACCTTATTAATGAAACAAGGCTTCAGTAAGTTCATAATATGTTGCTTGGAATATAACTTACTATCATTCACATATATCTTTCAATGATAAATCTCATTGGGTAAGTACAACAATGCTTAGAATATTTTTTCTGCATGCAGCTCAGGTTCAAAACCCAGCACCAGATGGTCCCACAGGCACTGCTAGGAGCAGCCCTCAAGCATGGAGACAGGAGTAGCTCTTGAAACCAAAACACCTCCCCCAAAATTGCTTTCCTAATTATGTGAAATATTCTCCTTAATAGGATCAATGAGATTTGCAGTAAGATTATTTCTTTTTCAAAATATTCTGTGCCATTTTATAAAATAAATTTTAGAATAAATCATAAACTGCATTACGTGTCATCCTGAGACACATTATGAATTACTACATACATAATATATTCTCTTAATGCTATGTTGGCAATAAACAGTGTAGTTATATATGTGTAGTCTCTTCAGATGAAATGTAATGGACTAACAAAGGTTCCCAAAGCTGGTAGCATAGTATACAAATTTTGCTAATCTCAAAAAGAATAAGAAGAATCAGAATGGTAAAATGGAGAGTTATTTTTTTTAAATGAAGAACAAGAGGACAAGACCAAGGGAATCATAGTCTGTCTAAACTGCATCCATAATTTGCAATGATAAGAGTTCTCTGATATAACAATATAACATATATAACAATATGGTTAAGAAGAGAATTCTTCCATAGTATTTGGCACATTTGAATCCAGATTAGCAAGAGAGAATCTCAATTTTAGGTAACTTATAAAACTCACTAGATTTTGTCCAAATTTGAAATACCCCAGGGACAAGGAGTATGAAAATATTTTGGAAAAAGTCAGTGTGAGTATGTTCCTTTTATAAACAAGCCATTAGGTTTTTGCTTTTTTGTTTGTTTAGTTTTGGTTTGGGTTTGGGGGTCACACCTGGTGATACAGGGGTTACTCTTGGTGCTGCACTCAGGAATCATTCCTGGAAGTGCTCTAGGGACCATACAGGAAGACAGGGGTCAAACCTGGGCTAGCCACATGCAAAGCAAATGCCTTACCCACTGTACGATCTCTCTGACCCCCACTATTAGTTTTGTTTAAAAAATAAAACAATGGGCCAGAAATATAGCACAGTGAGTAGGCCACTTGCCTGCATGGGTTTGATCCCCGGCTTTCCATAGGCTCCCCCAAGCAATGCCTGAAATGACTCCTGAGTGCAGAGCCAGAAGTAACCCCTCAGCATTGCAGAGTGTGGTCAATAAAACAAAACAATAACAAAATGAGATGCAAAAATATTAAACAAAACACTTGTGCAAGGGAAGGAGATAAAGAGGCAAAAATGAGACATGACCAGCTAGAAGTGAAATAAAAAGGCAAGTCTATTATCACAATTGTTAGAATTAACAGAATTATGGGCAAAGTCCACCTTCATAAAAATGTAAGAGGAAAAAAAATGTCTCCTTTCTAATGCATTCTAATTAGAACCTGTTTTTCCTCTGGATTTGATTCAAGACTTTCCCCAGTGCAACTTTGACATCCTTGTTCCTCAAACTGTAGATCAGGGGATTGAGCATGGGCCCCACATTAGTATAGAAAACAGAAGAAACTTTTCCTTGTTCCATAGACCCAGGAGAAGAATATTTAAGGTACATAAAAGCTGCTGATCCAAAGAAAAGAGAAATGGCAACGATGTGGGAGCTACAGGTACTGAATGCTTTGGACCTCCCTTGAGTAGATTTGATCTGAAGAATGTTGCTTAGGATGAAGACGTAAGAAATTAGGATGGTAACACTGGGCACTGTGATATTAATACCCACCACGATGAGAACGACTACATCATTGACATAAGTGCTGGTGCAAGAGAGCTGAAGGAGTGGGAGGATGTCACAGAAGTAATGGTTGATGACGTTAGCATTGCAGAAGGTCAGCCTGAGCATGCACCCTGTGTGGGCGGCGGCCCCTGCAAACCCCATGGAATATGCAGCAAAGCTTATCAAAGAGCAAACCTGAGGCGACATGGTGACTTTATACAGCAGCGGGTTGCAAATGGCCACGTAGCGGTCATAGGCCATGGAGGTCAACATGTAGCACTCAGAGATGACAAAAAAAAGAAAGAAAAACAGTTGAGCCATGCACCCAGCATAGGAGATGACGTTCCTCCTTGACACAAAGTTCACCAGCATCTTAGGGGTGAAAACTGAAGAGTAACAGAGGTCGATGAAGGAAAGGTTAAAAAGGAAGTAGTACATGGGGGTGTGGAGGTGGGAGTTGAGACTGATAAGGATGATCAAGCCAATGTTGCCCACCATGGTGACAATGTACATCACTAGAAACAGAACAAAGAGGGGTTGCTGGAGCTCTGGGCGGTCTGTTAATCCAGCAAGCAGGAATTCCGTCACTAAGGAATCATTCTGACGCATCACTGTCATCTTGGGGAAGTCTGTGAGAAGAGAGGACAATACCATTAACAAAGTCTCCCCCACAAGGACTCACTGTCAAGAAAGGGAAATTCGGACAGGCGGAAGTCAAGCAAGTGTCGAGTCAGGCAGGCTGTGCTACCACAGCCTTCCCTCAGCAGTTAAACAACTATTTTTTGCCTGTGACAAACAACTATTCCTGTCTTTGCTCCAAGGAAGGGATAAGCTCACTTGCTGGTGAGCAATGGGAGCAAGGTCTTCTTCCTCATGCCGCCCCCCCCCCCACCCCCACCACCACCACCTGTTTCTCTGTTTCTTCACTTCCTAGTCCCTATTCGTGTTTCCATTTCCCTACCAGATACCTCAGGTCCTGTCACAGTCAACCAGACAGACAGAATGTCTCTGGGGTGGCAGAATGTCCAAGACTCCACTCACTACCTGCCCCAGAGCTGTGATTCATTCTTCCCTCTGTTCCTGAGAACTCAGGAAAGACAGTGAAGGTGCTTCTCTGGGGTTGTAGGAGAGCAGGCAAGAGAAAAGTTAGTTCTGGGGCTGTCTAAGCTGGCTGTAAAGCTTGGGGGAAGATGGGCAAGTGGAGAAATACAAGACTATAGCCATATTAAATGTCTTTAGGAAAGGTTTCTCATCTTCCTCAGTGTCGCTGTCTGCTGGGCGTGGCTCCTGGAGCTGCCAGAGTGGGCCTTCAGCTAACAAAGATAGAGCAGGGCCCAACAACAGGAAAAGGGCAAGAACCCTAGAAATGTGACCGACTTACTCTCGTCATAAGAGGAATTTGTGCTGACCCTTTATGCTGGTTTTCCCCACACGGCTCTGGAAGAAGAGTTGACGGCGGAGATACCAACGCTGACTAGCTGTGACCACAGAATCTGCTGCTTCTCTTGGCGAAAGAGTCAGAGCTCAGAACTCGGTCTGGGCATCCCACGACTCATTCCAGATGGGGGTCAAAGTTCTAGTTATAAATTTTCTAATAGAGTAAGAAGTGAAAATGTAAGTAGCAGACGCAAGTCAACTTACCAAACGCATATGGCATGACTTGCTTAAGGCTTAAAATATGCTCGACCCTGGTTATAAATCCAAACATCAATGTCCTTGGAGGACATTCCTATCACAAAAAGTAATGCAGGAAGGAAGTTCGTGTTTGTGGAACACCCTGATGGCAACAGTAAGTGTTAATTTCCCACCAGAGAGTACACATTCCCTGAGGCATAGGAGAAAAAAAATCATCTGTTGTCCCTTACAGAGATGCAAACAATTTACTGTTATGAAATTATGCTAATTAAAGTTCCACATAGTACATTCATTTTAAGGACTTAAATTCACAGACTTAGGAATATTGTGTTTATTAATTTTTCTTTAATTCCCCTGAAATAATTACTGCTTTTGAAATTCTAAAGAAATAAACAAAAGGATCCTTTTGTACTGACATTATAGATTGTTAATAAAAATTTGTATGATTTATAAGATTTATCATGCAAGATTTGTCACAGTCACAGTCCCGTTATTCATCGATTTGTTCGAGCGGGCCCAGTAACATCTCCATCGTGAGATTTGTTGTTACTGTGTTTGGCATATTGATTACATCATGGGGAGCTTGCCAGGCTCTGCCGTGCGGGCGAGATACTCTCGGTAGCTTGCCGGGCTCTCTGAGGGGCAGAGGAATCGAACTCGGGCCAGCCATATTGGCTGCTTGCAAGGCAAAAGCCTTACCCGCTGTGCTATCGAATTTCTTAAATATATTTATAAATAAAATCAGTACTATTTAAAATAAATTTATAATATGTGATCCATTATTTCATGTACATTTAATTACCTTAAGTTTTTCTTTTTTTTTTCTTTTCTTCCTTAGGGGTTGGGGGTTGTTTATACTGAGGGGTCTCAGTAGTGACACCTGGTGGTAATTAAGGGGACCTTATGCGGTGCTGGACATTAAATTGGGGTAAACTGAGCAAGAAAACACTCTTAGCCCTTACTATACTATCTTTCTAAGCCCAATTTGGGTTTTTCTGATTCACTGCGTCTTTTATTTTCATAGATTAAAATAAATACATAAGAAATAATAGTTAATAGAGTCCTATTTCAAGAAAATATGAATATAGAATTTCCAGGTATGTACTAATGTTTATGATTATGCTGGTGAGAAGCACTGTAGTAGCACTGTCGTCCCGTTGTTCATCGATTTGCTTGAGCGGCACCAGCAATGTCTCCATTGTGAGACTTGTTATTACTGTTTTTGGCATATCGAATACGCCATGGGGAGCTTGCCAGGCTCTGCTGTGCAGATAGGATACTCTTGGTAGCTTGCTAGGTTCTTCAAGGGGGACAGAGGAATCGAACCCGGGTCGGCCACGTGCAAGGCAAATGCCCTACCTGCTGTGCTATCACTCCAACCCGCTGGTAAGAAGGCATCTAAAAATTTTATGATGCAATTCTGTAATCACAAGGAATTACAAAAATCATGCATATTGTCCCTCGAAATCCATCTATTTCCTACCATATTGATATCCCCAATGACTATCATACAACAGCAAAGGCAGGAAGCCGACAAGGATATAACACTGTGACCGGCAGAAACTGAACTAGAGCTCTTCAGTTACCATCAGTTTTACAAGCAGTATGTGACGTGTGTGTGTGTGTGTGTGTGTGTGTGTGTATGGACTTGTGTTTGGGTAAAGATCTTCACAACTTTGCCCCTTGGAATGATTCATGTAACCATCACTAGAATTAGGATACAGAACTCTCCCACCGCTGTACAAGAAATGGGTAAGACACTTGCCGTTCACACAGGCAACCCAGGTTCAGTCTACAGCACCATGCACAATCCTTGGACACCTTACTGGGTATGATCCCTGGCAACAGAGCCAGGAGTAAGCTGGGTGTAACCAAAAAAAAAAATACTCCCTCTCTGTACTCAAACTCATCCTGTTCCACGACATCTCTGGCTCCTGGCTATCCCTAACTTGCTCTCCATTTCTACAGTGGAGTCATTTGGGAGACAACAAAACCTGCAATACATAAACTCTGCCATTCTTTTCACGAGACATGATGCCCTTAATTAATCCTGTAAGAGTGGCTGCAAAGGGGCCAAAGAGAGAGTGCAGTGGTTAGAGTGTTTGTCCAGCAAATGGTTGACCCCAGTTCCATCCTCCATCACCACATGGCCCCCCTAGCATAACCAGGTGCATTGCTGGCACTCCCGAGTACTGTTGGCATGGCCCAGGTGATCCTTGACACTATAGAGCCAAAGAAGCACCTCAGCCCCCTACACAAAGCACTGTGTAGGGAACCGCCCCACCATGAAAAATAATGAGTTACTGCCAAGATTGACAATCCATATTCCTATCACCACTAAATAGTGCTCCATTTTCACAACCCAAATTTCCTCAACCTTCTATAGCACTGTAGCACTGTCCTCCCATTTTTCATCAATTTGCTCAAGTGGGTCCAGTAACGTCTCCATTGTGAGACATTGTTGTTACTGTGTTTGGCGTATCAAATACGTCATGGGTAGCTTGCCTTCTATAATAATTCAAAATGTAGTAGGCTCACGCTATAAAATTAAGTATGTTTTATTCATGGGACATGTTTCGGGGATGAAAAGTAAAAGATGTTGAATGCTCACATTATCTTTTTATAAGGTTCTTTTCTGTTTTGCTGACTCAGTCCCAGGAAATGGGAGACATGCACATTACATAGCATAGCTGTGGTTAGGTGGGTGTCTATTGCGTTAGGACATCATAGAGGGAGACTGAGCCTGAGTCAGAGGGCATGGTGTGTTGGAACAAAGTACTTAAAGAAATGGAACCTCTAGTCCAACTCGCTTGGATTTAAATCAGTTTTTCTGAGCCATAATCATGGTGGGCCCTCCCGTTGATCGTCGATTTGCTCAAGCAGGCCCAGTAACGTCTACATTGGAGACTTGGTTGTTACTGTGTTTGGCATATCAAATACTCTCGGTAGCTTGCTGGGCTCTCCGAGAGGGGCGGAGGAATCGAACTCGGGTCGGCCATGTTGGCCGCTTATGAGGCGAATGCCCTACCGCTAGCACAACGGGTAGGGCGTTTGCCTTGCACGCAGCCAACATGGCCGACCCGAGTTCGATTCCTCCGCCCCTCTCAGAGAGCCCGGCAGGCTACCGAGAGTATCTCGCCTGGACGGCAGAGCCTGGCAAGCTACCCATGACGTATTCGATATGCCAAACACAGTAACAACAAAGTCTCCAATGGAGACGTTACTGGGCCCGCTCGAGCAAATCGATGATCAGCGGGAGGGCCTTTACTTTTACTTTTTACTTATAATCATGGTGTTTCAATACAACTTAGTAGCACTGTAGCACTGTAGCTCTATCCTCCCGTTGTTCATCGATTTGCTCGAGTGGGTGCCAGTAAAGTCTCACAACAAATTGTGAGGCTTGTTGTTACTGTTTTTGCTATCCACACCTTTGAGATAGGTAATGGTAATACCAAATGTTGGGGAAATTTAGAATATTCTAAACTTAAGGCCAAAAAGTTACATAATAGAATGTTTTTTTATCAGAACATTAAAAAGAATGAGCCAGAAACTAGTATTTTAAGAAGATAAAAGCGATGTGCCAGACACAGTGACGGCGGGTCTCACAGTGGAGGCGTTGCTGGGCCTGCTCGAGTAAATAGATCAACAATAGGAGGACAGTGCTACAGTACTACAGTGCCTTTTTGGCAGATCTGAGTGTTGGGGTAAAATCCCAAATAATAATGGTGGGTCTGGTGTCGAAATATTGAATGTAATAAATGTAGAGAGAGAGTAATGTGGAAATCATCAGCCCCACAGGTAGGGAAGGGTGTAGGATGTGGTGTATACTGGGGTTTTTGGTGGTGGAAATGGGCACTTGTGAAGGGACGGGTGTTTCATCATTGTATGATGGAGACTTAAAACCGAAAGCTTTATAACTGCTCTCATGGTGATTCAATAAATAAATTTATAAAAAAGAAAAAAAAAAGAAGATAAAAGCATGCAAACTTGGGGCTAGAGTGATAGTACAGCAGAAGGGGCACTTGCTTTGCACACAGTCAACCCAGGTTCAAACCCCAGCACCCTCTATGGTCACCCAAGCCCTCCAGGAGTGATTCCTGAGCACGGAGCCAGGAGGAAGCCCTGAGCAATGCCAGGTGTGACCCCAAAACAAACAAAATCAACACACAAATTTTAGAGACAGGATGCTAATGAATAGTGGCTAATAAAACACCCAGTGATATGTTTATACACAGCAATCTAGATAGAGGACAGTGTCACACAGCACTATGGGCACTTGCCTTGCAGGACAACAACCCATCTTTGATTCCCAGAAGAGCATATGGCCCCCAACACCCTCCAGGAGTGATCTTGAGTGCAGATCCCGGAGTAAACCCCAAGGTGTAGCTCAAAGGCCAAAAAATAACTTTGGAAATGATGATAAGAAAAGGAAGGGTTTGGGGACCACAAGGGCTGGGGGGTGAATTTAATTTGAGTGGGAATCTCTAATTAAGAGTCGGATACAGATTTTGAACTTATGAAAGAGATCCTTGCTGTAGATAAAAATAAGAATAAAGAGGAAGAAAATCTAATACTTAACACACACCAGATGGCAAGAAGCTCTCTAAAGGCTCTGGAGGTTAAAAAGTATGTAATCCTCAAAGTGATCTTAGGAAGTAGGAGCTATTATTAAACTCCTAAGTTAGATAAAGCAAAAAGACTCCGAAAGATTAAGTAACTTGTCCAAGATCCCACATGTAAGAAGAGGAGGAATTGGAATTCATGCATCATCAGTCTGCCTCCAGAGCCCATTCTCTCAACACTTCCCTAGGGTACTGCACAATGGATGTGGCATACAATTAAAGATGCAGTATTAAAGCTACACTTCCACCTTATCAATCACGTAAAAATGACTCTATCTCCAGACAGTCCTTTGAGAACTGAGGATGAGCTTTAGAGGGTAAGGAGGAATACAAAGGCAGACACTCCGGGCCTGCACGGAGAATTGGGAATTCGTCCTAGGATCTGATCCATGGAGAACCTGGGGTCCCAGAAGAATCCCCAGTAACTCACTGACAAAGAATATAAATGCAGGCTCAATAATTTCTTCCCTTGGGCGTAGAACCACACTTTCCTCTTAAATGAGGTCCATTTTTCCAAGCTTCTGAATATGTTGCAGAGATCCACAGAGAGTAAGAAAAAAATTACAGCATTAACGAGCTGAATGTTTGGAGACATAAAAGTTGTTGCACTTGCCTTGCCCCGATGACACACAAATCCATGAACAGAAGCGGTGTTGCCCCCGTATTATCAGAACCCTGGTCTCCTTCAGGACCGAGAAGGAAAAGGATTATTTAAGGTATGGCAATATAGTGAGGTCTCCAAGGAAGAAGGAAGTGGGAGGCTGAGTCTCCTTCACTGTTCTGATGTTTCCAGTGGAAAGGTGGGGAAGAAATTAATAATGGTTTCGTTCTTTGGGGGTTTTATTTGGGCTTGGTTTGGGGATCACATTCAGTGGTGTTCAGAGCTACTCCTGCTCTGAGCTTAGGCAGGCTGGGAAGACCAAATGGGATGTTGGGGACCAAACCTGGGTTTGGTCACATACAAAGCAAGTGCTCTACCTGCTGCACTATTGCTCTAGTCCCTAACGCGTTGTGCTTTGAGGTAAAATCTGATGGAGGAAGCTAGCGGAGTGAATACAGAACAACAGCAGGCACGCTCAGCACTTTCACCAACCAGGGAAAGAATGAGCAGTGTCACAGGCTTCATGGGAACCACTGTCCCTGTCTTCAGGCACTGCCCTGAGAACTGTCTCGAGCACAACACCTGCCTCCTTTGCTCTTTGACTGAATGACTTTAGGAAGCCTAACAATCTCTTGGATGTGTTATTTCCTGGGCCATAGTATTAGTACATTACTCTGGATAGGATATTTGCCTGGCACTTGGCCGACCTATGTTCAATCTCCAGCATCCCATGTGGTCCCTTGACCATCACCAGGAGTGATTCCTGAGTTGCAGAGCCAGGAGTAAGCCCTGAGTATCGCTGAGTGTGGCTCAAACCCAAAGCAAGCAAGCGTGTACCTCCCTTACCTCTCAAATGAGAACATGGCTTTGGGTAGGCAGGATCAGACTAAATCTTGCTGTGTCAGCCCAGGGCAAATAAGGAGTTACCATTTGAGATTGAAAACAGGAGAGAAATGGGCAGATGAGAGCAGAAAGTCACAAGGTGGGAGTGCTGGTCCTGGCTCTCCGCTCAGAGGGCCGCTCTGAGGGCCACACTTGAGCACCCACTGGAACAAGGCCTCTCTCCACCGAGGGCCGGGGCTCTTGATGATGACATTCTTTCTGCCCTCCCAGATCGCTCCCCTCCAGAGAACAGCAATGGCAAACGGCTCGGCAGTAACCGAGTTCATTCTGGCGGGCCTGACAGATCAGCCCCAGCTCCAGCTGCCCTTCTTCTTCCTCTTCTTACTGAACTACCTGGTCACCGCAGTTGGAAATTTCAGCCTCATTAACCTGATAGGCCTGAATCCGCACCTCCACACCCCCATGTACTTTTTCATCTTCAACCTATCCTTCATAGACCTCTGCCACTCTCTGATCATCACCCCGAAAATGCTGATGAGCTTTGTGGCCAAGAACATCATCTCCTTCGCCGGGTGCATGGCTCAGCTATTTTTTTTCTGCTTCTTCGTCCACACCGAGTGCTACGTGTTGACGGCCATGGCCTATGACCGCTACATGGCCATCTGTAGGCCCCTCACGTACACCACCACCATGTCCCCACAGGTCTGCTCTCTGCTCATGCTTGGCTCCTATATGCTGGGGTTCGCCGGAGCCATGGTCCACACAGGGGGTATGCTCCGACTGTCCTTCTGTGATTTGAACGTCATCAACCATTACATGTGTGACATATTCCCCCTCCTCCAGCTCTCCTGCAGCAGCACCCACGTCAACGAGCTGGTGGACTCCGTCCTCGTGAGCACCGTTGTAATCGTGTCCAGCGTCATCATTTTCATCTCTTATGCTCTGATCCTCTCCAATATCCTTCACATGTCCTCCTCCCAGGGCCTGTCCAAGGCCTTCAGTACCTGCGGCTCCCACATAGCCACCGTTGCGCTCTTCTACGGGTCCGGGATGTTCACACATCTCAAGACTTCCTCAAACGGTTCCATGAGCCAGGGCAGGTTCTTCTCGGTGTTTTATACTAACGTGGTGCCCATGCTGAATCCTCTCATCTACAGTCTAAGAAACAAGGACGTCAAGCTTGCTTTGAAGAAAACCCTGGCGAAAATTGCAAGCTAAGGCAAGAATCCTGTTGTCAGGCTCTTGAGCTATGGTGCTCCCCACACCCCACCCCATCCCCATCATTTTCTCCAAAACAATCAAAATGTTCTTTTCTGGAGAGTCGTTGGCATGTTCTGCTTACACATGCAAACACATTATAGAACCTCATGATTCTCCACAGCTGCGAGCTCCAGGGATGAAGCCTGATTCCTGATCATTTTAGACCAACCCCCCACTTCAGGTCCCTCCATAAATTTTTTATCCATCACCAAACACCATCCTGGAATGTCATCTCTAGAAATTATTATATTTGGCCCCAAAATTGCAACATTTTGAGAATTCCTACCAATTTATAAGAAAAAACTTTTAAAAATCCAGAATTTCCGAGTTTTTTGTTTGGTTTAGTCTGGTTGGGTTTTTTTTGGGGGGAGGGGATGTTTGGGGTTTTTTTTTTTTGCTATTTTTTTTCTAGGTTTTTTTTTGTGTGTGGATTTGGATCAAGCCCAACAGTATTTACATCACAGGTTAATGAGTATCCTGGGTTTCAAAATAAGGTGTCAGGTCAAGTTCTACATAAGGTTTCTCTGCATGGATGTATAAAGAGACCTTCCCTTTGTAACAGAGAAAACGTTCAGCTTCTAATCAAGATATGGACATCAGTAAGAGGGCTGTATGCTTCAACTGGTACTTTCACTTTGGAATTTACTGAGAGCTTGCCAGGAGTTGTCACTTTTAAGAGACTGGCCTAATTAATATAAGTTTAATGTCACATTTTAGAGATGCGTGAACAGCTCAGTGATGGGACTCCAGTTGCTCAGTGAGTTCAGAGCAGAGCCCAGATTTGTAACCAACTCACTTAATTCCACACCCCGTGTCTTCCCACATTATCTGTCTCTGAGGATGCAACTGAAAAGGAAATAAGGGAGTATAAAAAACAAGTCAAAAAGGGAAATAGAAATACCATATGATCTCCCTCAGCAAGAAACAAGCAAGGGAATAAACAATGTCCAAACAAATCAAACCCTTAGCCTCAGAGCACAGAACTAAGTCATATAGCAGGATGCAGCAGTGGAAGAGAAGGGTATTATGGCGAACGATAGAGGGACAGAGGGACTTTAGTTGTGGACATGGTGTGACATTTAAGGACATGATGCCCCTAAAATATGTAAACATTCATGCTCTTAGGATCTGCCCTCTTATAGCACAGCGGTAGGGCGTTTGCCTTGCACGCAGCTAACATGGCCAACCCGAGTTCGATTCCTCCACCCCTCTCGGAGAGCCCGGCAAGCTACCGAGAGTATCTCGCCCACACGGCAGAGCCTGGCAAGCTCCCCGTGACGTATTCGATATGCCAAACACAGTAACAACAAAGTCTCCAATGGAGACGTTACTGGGCCTGATCGAGCAAATCGATGAACAACGGGAGGGCCTTTACCTTTTACCTTTTTATACAGTAAGGCATTCGTCAATTTAATCGCTGTGGGGACGTCACAGGCAATAATTACACTCCCACCAAGGTACGTGACCCTGACACTCACTGAGACCACCAGTGACATGGGGTCTATTGTTAAAGACAACCTCAGTAAGTGAAGCCTGGCAATATATACATTTATGCAGCACAGTTATTTTACCCATAAATCCATGATAAATACTTTGATTTTTCTTCTCTTTACAAATACAAAAATAAAAATGAACACTCACCACCCTCTCTTAAACTCCTTTTCCTTTGTCCTGCCCTGCCACCTTCTTCCCCTTAGCAACTTCGGTTCGATTGCAAATATTCTCTGGCCTTTTGTTTTGCTTTGTCTATTCATAAATTTTATTTCCTAATATTGTACATGAGTACATGGCATCTCCCTGCATTTATAACCGCGTGTGAATCAATAATTTCAATTGAACGTTAATTTTTTAAGGTAGAGAGTATAGAACTTTTATCTCTGGAGCCTAAAAGTTAAAGTATTTAAGGGATTTTTTAAATTATATTCTTAGAAATGACTTCTTTAAGTTATCTCCCATTTGCTTTTTATATTTTTAATATAATTTAATGTGGACAGTTCCAGCATAGTCAACGTTTTTACTGAGATAGCTGCCCTACACTTTAATATAGCCTTAACATGTACTGTTATGGGGATTTGTATGTGTGAGTTGCAGCTAGCTGAATTTTCCCCACTGAGAGCCACTCAAGATTAGTGACTTCCCAAGACTCAAAGTGATCCCACTAAATGCGCATGCGTTGAGTGTTTGTTTAGTACCATGTCAGTTCAGAACGGTGCAAATAAAGTTATACTCGGGAAAGTTATGCTCTTCTTTATCTCTTACCTATGTACTTTTCTTAAGTCTCCTGGAATATAGCTATGCGATTGCCCCATCCAGCCCACCTTTCTTCCTTACAGACCTCTACTCTGAGAGTATCCAGCTACTTATTTAAATTATTTTATACAAACTACTCCTCCAGAAACCCCTCTCCGACTCTCTGTATTCCCCAAAGTTTCCACACTCCTTTCTAGGAGCACACTTTGGATTAAGACTAATGCTATTCTGACAGCAAGTAAGGGCAGACAATCCTGGGCAGAAAGGAAAGATGACCAAGACTTAGAAAAAATCTGGGCTTCACAAAGGTCTGAGAACCCCATTCATGTACATTAAAATGTGAGCTATATTATATACATATATACTATATATGTATAGTCTACCTTTGATGTGGTATGGAGAATATACATATTTCTGTGTCTCACTGAGACTTCTGTTGATGCTGATATGGTTTACATCAAGTCACAATTCCATCTAAAACTCAACAAAGATCAAGTTGTTTGCCAAAAGTAGTGAAGTTGATGCTCTTAACACAAGAGTCCAAAGAGGTCCGAAGGAACAGGGTTCCAAGTGTCTGATGAAGCCATTGGGCTTTCACCGTGAGATACTCTCTTGGCACCAGCATTTGTTGACTTGTTGGCATAAATGCTCCCTGCAGAGTTCAGTGCTGTATCCCCAGTGCCACATAGAGGGTTCAAAACATCTTTTTACTGAATATGTAAAAAAAGCAAAAGAAAACAAGCAGTGAAAAGTGGCCAGTACCCAGAAAGCAGCAGATGTGTGTGGGAGGTGGGAAATGGGGGACAAGAGAAGGAAATTCTGTGTCAGGAGCTGGTAGCAGTCTTCAGAGAAGTGTCTGTGCCCTGTGGCCTATGCTGGACTCAGGGCTCTGAGCATAGGGGAGAAGCCCAGTGGACCGGCAGTGAAGGGTTGGGGGTTTGGGGGAGAGGTTCCCCCTCCTCCACAGAGCAGACTAGCCAGCAACAGGGGGAGAAGGGTTCAGTGGATCAGTGAGCTCCAATGGGTTTCTGAGCATGACCTGGGGCTGCTGGAGAGCCCATTCTCAACTCCTGAGGAAATTCTACAAGAGTTGGCTTCCTGCATTTAGCAACAAATGCTGGGCCAATGCAAGGGCGTCGCCAGGAAGCCCCAAGAGACTCTCATCATAAGCAACCAAGAAGTTCTCTTAATCAGCCACCAGGTTGTGCTAGTGACTCAGCGATGCTGGTTTTAAAGGTATGAGTTTCTTTGCAATTTATATTTTGCCTTTGTTTCAGATTCCTTAAATGATTATACCCATGGATTTTACATAACTACTGATATAAAAATATTCAATACATTAATGAAATATAAGCTTTCAAAAAGAGATGCATTTAAGAGCAGAATTTAAACCAAACAGGTTGAATATATCCAATTGCAAGAACTGTGGATCACTTATGATGTGTGGTGTAGATTGGATAAGGTGTGATACTCCCAACTCGTGTGGACAAATGATTCCAACCTAATAAATCACCAGAATGTTGGCTGCATTATTGTCTTCTGTTTTTTCCCCAACACCAGAAACATGGTCAGTGTCCAACATAGCTGAGAAACTGAAGGAGTCGATGTGTTAATGTTTCTGTGACGGGTGTTTATATTAATATTGCTGCAGCGGCATTTCTAGAAAGTGCTATGAATATAACATAGTTTATTTGGTTCCTAGGTTCAAATCCTACCCTATAACATTTGACATAAATTTTTCATTATAAAAGTATTAGCAAGCAACTTAAAATCATTTTACAAAAATCTAAATTCATAAATTCACAAAATTCTCAGATACATCACAAAGGACCAGTCTTATCTGATATACTTTAGAACAAAAGGCACCAGGAAGAAAAATTCTTTTAAATATTTCACCAGAATGTTGTATAGCCTTCACCACCACCAAATTACCCATGATCCCCCTCCAATACCCTTAGGTTACTCCTGGTCTGTTTCTCCTATTCCCCTACTCCCTACTGCCTTGCTTGGTCATCTCAGTTCTGTAATCCAAGGCTAAGAGTTTGTCAGCATTGGACAATATCTTGCCTTGGTTTTTTTTCCTCTCTAAAAACCATGGTATTGTCCTTCTATAGCATTAGATTCCTTTATGAAATCTTTCACATTTTTGCTTTCAATACATAAAATTAGATGATAATTTATTAAGTGTTTCATTTCCTTTTACTAAATAAAATCCACCCGCTATCCTTGTTCTGTTTACAGATACAGTATTGATTTGTTCTGCTTCGCCATACATATATTCATAAGTGTAAAATGTCCATTTTGTAATTTTTTTCTTTTATCTAATTAGAGTTGTTTGTTTGTTGTTCACCAGCCATACCCAGCAGTTCTCAGGGCTTTCTCCTTGCTCTGAGCTCAGGGATCACTCCTGGTGGTGCTCAGGGCTTACTCCTAGTTGTGCTTAAGGGACCATATATGGTTCTGGGGATCGAATGAGGGACGAACATGCTTTTTAACCCCTGTACTATATCTCTAACCCTTTAAGGAGAATTTTCAATATTCAATATTTCAATAATGAAGGACTTTTGTTTCCTGAGTTGGCATTTAAGTTTTAATTTTGTTCCCCAGTAACCAAAGAATATTGCCCATATATTTCTAATATAAGCAAGTTATTGAAAGTTCTTGAAGTTTGAGTCAACTAATATTGCTTAAGTAGTGTATATTTCTAG